CTTTCATAACAAAGCAAAGTCGGGCTGGAGTGGTACGAGTTCCTTTGTTTTGAAAGTCCCACTGTGTAACTTGCGTCCCAGCGCAATTAATTCCGAACTGACCGAATCCTGCAAAGGGCCTATTATAACCGGCACGTGCACAGCCATCGTTCTACTCATAAAACTTTTTGTTTAACGACGTTCTGGTTACCGTTGCCGTCGTGGTTTTCTTAAACTCCCTATTATAACTGCAAACGTGCAGTAAATCCGAAAGAATTTACGTTTTCGATAGCATTACGATTCTCGCCGATTGCAACTCGCGTCTAACGGCTTCATTAGAAACAAAACTACCACGTCTGCACTAGCTGTATTAAAAACAGAAACTCGATGTAACTGAATCAATTTTAGATAACCCTTTTCTGTTTTATTTACATTGATCTTGAATCCATTTAAAACTTTCAGGCTTGAAACTGCCGCTTCTGGACAAAAGTTCACAAACTGAATTGCGCTTGTTATGCTTTCTGTTATCTCTGCCAAGCATCATGGCAACAGGTTAGTGGCAACATGCAACAGTCTCTCTTGTGTTACTAGTTTCTCTGGTTTTACTCTGTCAGTTGTTTTTCAAGGAGCAGTTTTCAATTGAGTTTCGTTAAACCAAAACCAAAGTTATCACTTTGGTCAATCACAAAGGACACACACAATCTAATGAACCAATCAAAACTTGAAGAAAATATATGTAGCTGGCAGAAAACGTGGGAAAACGTGTGCGAGCGAATCACGATACTGGTGTTGGTTTTTGACTTCTAATTGGTTGACAAAGTGGCGCGCGTTTTTTTAAGCCAATCGTGTAGCGTAGTAATGGAAAAAAAAAACAAAACAAAACAAAAAAACAATGACACCTTGTAAGACTACTTCGAAATTGAAAAATCGTTCCGCTAGCCAGAAAAGTAAACCTCTGGTAAGCAATAAAAAACTTGGAAAGTGGAAAGCTGTCATTTTTAGCGTTATCTGGCTTTGTTAGAACACAGACTAATAATAACAATAATAATAATAATAATAATAATAATAATAATAACTGGAACTGCTCACATACTTAGGAGGACTCTATCCATCAAGTAATCCAGCAGACTTATGACTGCCCTAGGCTCACGGATTGAACTCGGCACCATAAGTTA